TTGGAAATTCTTTAAAAATAAACTGAACTGGAAAATTTATTTTTCAATTCAAATTTTGACTCAATTACAAGTATTATTAATTTGATCTAATTTTTTAAGATTCATAAATTTTTTATCCTTTTCCTTCTTTATCCGTAAATGAAATATTTGAAACGTTCATTTACCTCAACCCTGTAAAACGGTAATGGTCCCGCATCTTCTTCGGTAGTATCCATCGAATTCTGCCGAATACTCGGCCATCCCTCTCCCGTTGTTACAACAAATAATGTTAGCATTGCATTTATTGTATTGTCATAATTAAACGGACGTAAACGCCATTCACGTGTTTCAACATGTGGCAAATTATCCTAAAAAAATAAATTGCAAATTATCCATATCATCATTGATTATTCAAATAAATTTATCTTCCATGGCTAAACATAAAAGTGAGAATTTCAATTAATTAAACAGTTTCCTATGATTGACTTTTAAAAGGTGGTAGTTTTTCCGGATTCATTATGATACCCAATCAATTACTACGATTCATTTCTGCATGTATTGTTGTAAATGCAATTATCATCGGAATAGCTATAAAGTGCTTTACTTCAATACTATTTTTACCAATTCTAGCAAATATCCATGATTTATAGCAAAATTTCAATTTTAACTAAAAATTATACAGTTGGAATATTTTTTAAAAATTTATCGATAATATCATTAAATCAATGTCATCTCAATCAATACTATTTTACAATCATATTCTTTAGATATTCCGGTGAAGATATATCATTTCTGACATTATCGATAAAGATTGGTGTACCATTGTTTATCACGGAAGCGATACTTATGATAACGCTATATCCGGATGAAACATTTGATGCCCTAATCGGTGATAGGGAATTCTTTCAAGAAATATTTGAATCTTATTCTGAGCAAACTCTAGCTAATACAAATATAGCGCATGCAGTACATTCACACGGTGATATTCCCGAGAATGATTTTGGTGATAACAATTTGAGACGTCGAATTTCTATTTTTGCATCTGATTCTTAATTTACCTATTTTTTTACCCGCATCATTTCAGGAAATAAATAAATATGTAGTTATGGAATGTCTTTTCTGTTTTTACATTTGCATAAATTTGCTTAAATAATAACGTTTTATAGTGTCGAATTTTTCGAAATCAAAAAATTAGTGATATAAAAATAATAGCAGTT